TTTCTCTTCTTTTTTCTTTCTTTCTTCTTTCTTTCTTTCTTTCTTTCTTTCTTTCTTTCTTTCTTTCTTTCTTTCTTTCTTTCTTTCTTTCTTTCTTTGAACCAGGGATTGAACTCAGCCCCTTGCGCTTGACTGGCAAGTGCTTATTCTACTGAGCTATCTCCCCAGCCCCCAAAATGCTAATTTTCAAGACTACAAAAAGCAGATCTCCTTATATTACAATGATAATGTGGCTCAGTGAATAAGTGGAAACTCCAGGAATGAACACTTAATTCACAATTTAGCAAACAACTTTACAAGGGGCAGAATTGGGACTCAGGTCTGTGAATCCAAGAGGTCTGATCTAGCACTGTGTTATGTCTCTGCTCTGATCCCTGTTCCTATGCGTCCTTTCTAGGTCTTGTTAAATGCTGGCAGGATAGGAGCTTCTTGTCCTAGGAAACATCCTCTTGAGGTATGTCTCTGTCTGGTGTTTGAAATGCATGTTTGTTAACAGTGATGATGAGGATTGACTGTGTGGTTCTACAGAGTATGGCCAACTCTGGGGATGGAAGTCTGGAAGACCCAGACATGAGGTTAGTGTCTTACACTCTGTTAGCTTTTCAAGAATGCTGGCTATCAGTGAGGATGACTTTGTTCTTCATGAGGATGTATTTTTCATGCAAATAAGTGACTTTGATTTTTTCCTATGTCCAGTGGAGTTGTGTATTCCAGGAGGTTGTTCCTAAAATGATTCTGATTGTTTCATGTTTGTATAGTATTCATACCCCTCAAATGATTAGTTTCCTTTGGTTGTGTCATTTTCAAGTCCTGTGAAATGATCTGCTAACTTTTGTTGCTTACAAACCTCCCTCAAATGTAAAGGTTTAAAGCAACAAACACACATTTGGATTATGACTGTATGGCTCAGCAACCAGGATTAGAATTAGCTGGGCAGTCTTTGATTATGTCAGTCCCATATCAACTACCAGTCAGCTAGGCTGGCTGCTCTTGCCTGGCTAGGGCAACTGGACTATATGAATATATCTTTCATCATTCAGCAGGATAATCTAATCTTGTTAATCTGGTGGCTGGATGGGAGAGAGCGAGAAAGTGAGAGATACAGAGACAGAGAGACAGAGACAGAGACTGCTCCAATTCTCCTAAGTCTTAAAACTACCATTATTTCTACTGCATGTTATACAACAGGTCAAGACAAACCTCCTATCTTTTGATGGGAAGAGTTGAAAAGTGACACTGCAAAGGAGCATTCACACAGGGAAAGCTTCTGGTGTCTTAAGTTTTGGAATAGTCAGGCACAGTCATTCTTATTGAGAAGAGCTAGTGAATGATCATTTAGATTGTCATAATTGCTGGAGAATTGTAGCACCCTTAAGTGAAAATAGAACATTGTTTTCAGTGAATAAGTATAAATTTGACTGTAGTTTTTCTATTTTTTTCCTTTCAGAAGGAATTTGAGGTTGTTTTCAAAGTTACATATAGCAGGACAATGTAAAAGAAAAGATTGGGAAAGCTTAGAGAAAATCAAAATAGGAGAAAAATATGAAGCCAATAACATAGTAGGTGAATGTTTCCTTAGATTTCTTGAATAGTTGGCAGAGGTGTGCAAATGTCAAATGCCAATAGGGAGCGATAAATAGGGAAAATACTATGATAATACGACCCTTATCTGATAGGCAAAGAGACTCAGAGGCATATGGTTTCCTCAAGATTGTATTGTGTAATAAGATGTGTCTTTTGACTTCCATGTTGGTGTGCTGTGCGAGAAATATTGGGAAAGCCACACTGAAGATACAGAAGAATGGCAAGGTCTTAAGAAACTGTAAACTCTTTGGGGGTGAAAGGATTTACTAGCATGGCACTGGCAAAAAACAAGACAAGACAAAACAAAAAAAAGTCCCATTAGACCTGAGGATTAAGGGAACAGATTAAAAGATGCAGACACAAATACAAGCACATGTAGGTATTTTATTTTTGGCAAAGGGGCCAAACATGTTCAATGTAAGAAAGATAGTCTTGGGCTACCCTGCACCCGCAGGACTGACTACGGGCCCCAGCCCAGGAGCAGCATGGGTGAGACTTTCTTCCACCTCTTTGGGACGCCCCCCACCCCTCCGCAGCACCTCCCCCACCCCGCCCTCCAAGTAGGAATTTCTGCCGCGTTCTGGGAACCACCAGACCCAGTCCTAGCCCAGGTCAGGTGAGTGTGTGGGAGAGCTTCCTGCTATCCTGTGCTGGTGGGACCGACTACCGGTCCCAGCAAAGGCACAGCGTGGGTGAGACCTTCTTCCACCCCCTTGAGATGCCCCCCACCAATCAGCACCTCCCCCACCCCACCCACCAAGTAGGAATTTTTGCCTCGTTCTTGGAACACCCAGACCCAGTCCTAGCCCAGAACCATTGAGTGTGTGGGAGAGCTGCCTCTTCCTTCTACTCCACCTTTGTCCCTTCCAGGCTCAGCTCAGGCCTGGCTTACATGCCTGGGGTGTAACCCTGCAGCTACAATCCCTGCAGAAAGTGTAGAGGATAGAACAATCAGGCTAGTCCAGGAGAAGAACATCTTGCCACAGGGGCACAACAGGTTCACTCTCAAGGGCAGCAGCAGGAAGGAGCTGAGCACAGCAGCCAGACCCAAGCCAGGTACAGCTGGCTAAATCCAGACTTTGTAGATCTGCACCTGAACTTCATTACGTGCAAAGGTTATAACTTCAATGAAGAACTACAACAAAGGTCAGAAGACAGTGCTACACAAAATGACGAGAAGGAACAAAATGCAATCTCAGAACCCAACCCCACCCGGAAAAAGTGCAGAGGACACTAACACAGAACAAATTGGGAATCACACAGCTGAAAGCAATGAATCAATGGCTTCTGAAATAAAGAAACAGCTGCAAAAAGATATAGAGGAACTCAGATTGGAAATAAAAAAAGAAATCCCTGAATGAATAACATCTGCAGTAAAGAATCAAATGCAGAAACATATGGAGGAAACCCAGTGCCCACCCAGAACAAGTGCGGACAACACTAGCTCTGCTCAAATGCATGAATTAATAACGTCGATAGTAAGTAAGCAACAGCAGAAAGATAGAGAGGAAATCAGAGCACAATTCTTTTCTGAAATAAAAAAAGAATTCTCAGAACTCATAGCATCAGAAGTAAAGAAGCAACTACAGAAACGTAGGGAGGAAACCCAATCTGAAAAAAACACGGCAGTAAAAGAATTTATAACTGCTTCTAAATAAAACATTGAAAAAAAATAGAGGAGATTAGAAAAATGATGGTTTCCTTAAACGAACAATTCAGGAAAGAAATAATCACATGAAGCAGAGTCAAAGAGATATAGAGGAAATTAAAACCTCAATGACAAGCTTGCAAAACCATTTAAGTGACAGTGAAGACAGAGTTTCAGATCTAGAAGATGCTGGTGCAGCTAGTGAAAAGGTAAGAAAGGATCTCTTAAAAACAA